CCGATTTTCGCGCAAATCCATCGACAAATAACCGGTGTGAATTTTCGGCCATTTTGAACTTTAACCGGCCGCCATTTTGAAACGGTTTGAGATATTGACTTCGGGTTTGCGCGAAAAGTTTTCTTTTTTTATGCTCTTTCGAACGAGCTATCACAAAGGGGGTCTTCCCATTTGAAAATTAAAAGTTGGGGCCGTTGCCCCCCCCAAGGGGGGCCCCCTGAAAATTTTAGGGGGGCCAAAAAGTAGCTCCCTTTGACCTAGGAATATCCCCCAAGTTTCAAATCTTTACCTCAATTAGGTAAAAAGTTAGAGGGGGTGGAAGGAACTTTTGGATCACCCTGTAGTTATGCTTAAAGGAACTGTATTGCACGCAAACCATAACGCAAGGTACATAGTTCCTTTTAGCAAAAATACGTCCAATTTTGGGCCTCGGATTCTTTGGGACACAAATCTAGGTTGCGTTGTGGCTTTCGTAAAAATATGGGGTCCCATTTATTTCTCAATATTTCGGTAGGTAGTCATTTTACAACCTTGGTAAAAATTGGCAGTGGAATGTGTGTTCCAAAATACTATAGACCTAAAGCCGGCTGTAAGATTTTCAATAGCCTCTGTAGCCGGCTGTACAATTTCTTATAGCCTTTTATAGCCGATGGCGATTAAGCAACAGCCAGGCGATAAAGTTTATGCTAAACGTTACTAATTACGCATACTAGGACTTAGTTAGTTTTTGGACTACCGCTCTCTTTTTGTGCCGTAGTATCTTGATTTATTTTGCGAGGAAAGCTCCGTACTTTTGAGGGATGCCTGTCATTCTTAATATGTTGGAGCGCCTTCAATTTCTTAGGATATTGTGCAATACCTCTGGTGTGAAATAGTTGCTTCAGACGCCGTGGCACGCTGCGGCGCGGCGGGCGAGTAGAGAGCACGAAACGCGCATTGGCGCCTACAAACCTAACAGGGATACTTCACGCATTGCGCAATGCGTGAAGTATCCCTGTTAGGTTTGTAGGCGCCAGTGCGTCGCCGCTCCGTTTTGTGTTAGGCTCTAATATTTAATCTCGCGGAGTCAGCGATTTTCAACTCCATGATTTTGAAATGTTTGCACACTCTGTATGGACTATTCTCATTTTAATTGATGAAAAAAAAAATACGTTAAAAAGGAAAATATAATGTGTGTTTTGTAAATATTAAGGTAAGTTCCGTATCAAACTTAATGATTTCCAAAGCACACGAATTTCTGCACAATTTCTTTTAGCCTTTTATAGCCAATGGTGATAAATTGTAAAGCCCCGCGATAGGAACTATAGCCCGACTGTATACTTTTTTATAGCTTCGTATAGCCCGGCTATATGATTTGCTCCGCTTTCTACGGTCAGCTATATGATTTTCAATAGCTTTCTCTAGTCGGCTATAAGAACTCCTATGGTATTTTGAAACGCAGCTCCTATCGCCAATTTTTACCAAGGAAAACAGAAAGTATTGATAACAATTTGCCACATCAAGCCCCAGAAGAGTGGCTTAATTGTATTTTTTAAAAAAAAAAATAATAATAAAGAAATGCATCGCTAAGAATGAATAATTCTATGCGGCGCAATAGAGGGTTAAACTATGATCCTTTCTTTGATCTTTTCTTTAATTTTTCTGATGCATTTAATTTGGTATCCCTTTCTCTAAAGACCAATTAAGAACTTACATCAACCACACCTCTGATAATCCAAAGATGTAATTGAGAATAGTATCAAAATAGACGCCAGCCTCCATCTTTATTATTTATTTTTGATAGGTTGGTTGGTTCTAATTAGATGTTTTGCAATTTTGCCGCTTTTACCCTGAAACAATTACCCAAGTGACCTTCAACAGAGGTTGGTTTTAATGGCCCTAAAATAATTTAGCATGTGTATCTTAATTGGGTCTGAAGGAAGACACTTTTAAGACCACACATGCATCCACTTTATTTAGGTACTTTATCTTAACTTTTACAATTTTAGTGAGGCTGCTTCATCAAAGTTCAGTGATTAAAGTCTTATGATTTACCGAATACCTTGGTATATTTTCTGATAATCTTTAGCAATCTTCTCTCTTTAACAGGAAAACGGTTTGGACTCATCATGGGTGAAGAGAGAAGATTCCTCGTGGTTTTACAATTCCTCCAGCTGGGAGAGGAAGTGAGATCATACTAGATAATCTTTCTTGACTGCAGTCGTTTTATCGTGCTTGTTGTGGTAAGTTTATGAACTGTTCCTTCCGTGAGAAAAAATTAACTCGCATTTTAGTAGTTACATAATGAGATGATAGGATTTGAAGATGAGGAGTGCCTGTACCTTTAACCTTAGAAAAATTGGTAACACTGACAAAAGTTGAAGCTTCCGACAAATAGAAAGCCTTCATCACAACTCCGATGAATAATGACAGATTTGGGTGAATATTCTTGGGAAAAAAGTGAAAAATGAAGACAACTAAGTGAACAGGCATAATTTTTCTATGAAATATTAATGCATGCTGGTGAGTCTGGTGTTTGGTAGAGATTACAACCTATCAGAGTCAAGATCATAAATGTCTTAAATAATTTGTGTGATCACTGAGATTTTTCTGAAAACTTTTAAGAGACAAGATTCTTATAGGATACTAGTTCAACAATTATTAATTAAATTAGATGCCACTTGAAACGATATGTTTGACAATATGTTTACTTAAATTTCTGCAATGGGCCCCACTCCATTCTTGTATGTTTCATTGGCATGAAACATACAAGAGTGGATGAAGTACATGGTTGCTCTATAAAACAAAGAGTGAAAGAAAAAGGACCAAAAAAATTCAAATAAAAAGAAAAGAGAATCGGTAAACATTAATTTTATTGCAAAAACAGAAAATTAATGACATTGAAAGTTTACACAAAGTGCAGTAAAAATGAGATAGAAGAGCTGCATTTTCACTCAAATACTTGAAGGGTGATTGTTACCTTATAGTGTACTGTTGTCCTCCAATAAACAGAAGATTCATATCACTGAAATCATAATTTATTTTACTTGAGTTTAAATGTTGGGGTAAACATAAGGTACGTACTATCTTTCAATGAGAATTAAAAACAAATGAATTTAATTTACTTAACAAATTTTACCTCAAAACCTTGACTTTGAGCTGTGAAGTATAATGTCGACTTAATTAAGAATTTGATCTTTTCGACTATTTTTTCAATTTCTGAGAGGGCACTTTCTTAAACAAAAGTACCGATAGAATGTTATAAATTAAGACATCAACTTATAGATGAGGAGGGAAAGTTACCAACTAATTTTTCAATTTCTTTTGCTTCATTAAACAGCTAAAGGCCTGCCTAAATCTACTATCACAATGTTTAGTTAGGGTGCCTGTCTTAATTTATGCTAAAAATTGTTTCGTGATAATTAAAAAACATTCAGTCGATTTTGGCTTGGCGCATCAATCGTAACTCTTAAATAGCAATGTGGACCATTCCTGCTTTATCTCAGAGTTACCGAGTGCTGATGGGCAAGGCTTACTTAATTGAGAGCATTTTTTCACAATGTTGTGATGCTGTCAAGACATACTTTTTTGTGACAATCCAAATGTATTCTAAGCCGCATGTTCTAGACATTTTTACAAGGTTTATAGCCCATTTTTTAAGCACTCTATAATACATTGCTCCTTGATTGTGAAATAGCAAGAGAAGTTACAATTTTTCTGTAGCATTTTCGTACTGTTATTTTTGGGAAAAAAAAAGAGTCTTGTGAGCAAGGAGATCAACTAATATGATTTCATACAAACGAGGCAATAAAATCTTTTTTAAACAGTTAGGTATTTTTCAAAATTCATCAGGCTCCTATCTTTTAAATTATTTTGCCTCGTTTTTGGCTGGGCTTCACAGGAAAAATAAAAGCTACATTAAAAAGAGGGATGATAGAAATAGGCATGAGCTAATTGTGGGGGTTGATACTTTAGGATGAAAAAAATTAAATAAAATGAAAAAAAAGAAACAAAACTTTACTCGGAAATGCACCTTGAATCTTATCGATGGGTTTGGCTATCATTTAATATTTCAGTTCTTTTGTAACACATAGTTCCTCTCCTAAAAACATATGATGCACTAATGAATACCTAATTACAAAAAAAAATATCACTTAACCACGGTGACCTAAAACTGTACAAAATTATACCTAAAACAAAGAACAAATTTTTTTGGGTGACCAACAATTTTCAACGACGAGACTAGCTCAACTCATCACTCTGCATCGAAACATGGAAATCCAGGACCAAATTCTTTCATAATTTACTTTAATATCACTTGAATATCTTACAATTCTTAGATTAGGCTCAAAATGCTTTTTAGTTTTTCTTTGTGAATGAGATACTTTATTACCATATAAAATTCCAACTCAGCTAAGCTCATATTTACGAGACATTACGACCCCACGTACATATCTTCAATAGTTGACATTTAGACTATTAATAAGGCATAGTGTCAATGATATTTGTATATAAAAATAGATTTAATATATTTTATACATAAATTTTTAACCGAGTTGACTAAGTACATCACGCATAGAATAAAAACCAGTTTCTTTACTAGCAATCCAAATTGCAGCCTTAATTGCCCCATCAGCAAAAGATACTCTATTAAGAGCTTGGTGTTTAAAGCTGATGGTTTCATTATCACCTAGAAACATTATCTCATGCTCTCCGTACACATGTCCTCCTCTAATTGCAGCGATACCAATTTCGCCCGACAGTCTTTTACCATGTCGGTTATGAATTACGTCCTTCTTAAAATCTATATTTCTTGCTTCCGCTAATGTTTTACCAAGCATAAGAGCAGTGCCAGAAGGAATATCTAACTTCATCCGGTGGTGAGACTCTAAGATCTCTATATCATAATTTTTATCAAGAATTTTTGCTGCTTTTTCAGTTAGTATGGCAAGTAAATTTATTCCTAGACTCATATTGGCAGAATATAATATAGCTATATCCTTTGAAGCAGAATGCATAAGATCTGAGACTTTTGACTCAAAACCGGTGGTACCAATAACCAATTTATTTTTATATTTTATGGCTGATTTGAGCAATTTTTCTAATAATTCGCCATTTGAAAAATCTATAATTACCTGACAATTACGACAAAATTCATCTAAATCATTATTTTGCCTGGAAAATGTTGATGAAATTTTACAAGAATCAAAACTTCCTATTCTTTCAATTATCATTTTTCCCATTTTACCGGTAGAACCACATAATCCAATATTTATCATTTTGATTCTCTATATTCTCGCAAACGATGTACTAGTGGTTTATTAGAATTGTTAACCTTGGTATTTATTACTTCACCAATTACTACCACTTGATCACCAATATTATATTGATTGAATTTCTTACATTCAATATAACACACTGCCCTTACATCAAAAAATTTAAAACGCTATTGAAATTATGAATGAATAAATCGAAATTAATTATAAATCAAAAATGAAAAGAAAATTCTGCTTTACAATGAGCAATTTCTTCAGAGCTATCTAGATTGAAGCACATCATTTAGGATTGGTCTTCAGCGGCAGTGCTTAGGTTGGCTTGGTTACAAATCGTAATTCATTGTTGTCACCCAGTTCAAAAGCAGAAGGAAATCACTGAAAACAATCATAAGAACAAAATGTCAAATAAAAGAAATAGGAAAGTAAATTACAACGAAAAATTAAATTATTGGATGCTACTTGATAATTTTAAGGAGATGGTTCTCTCAATCTGCGGAGAGAATATTCTTCTCCAAGAATCTGAGCCGAAAGAGCACTAAGGGAAGAGGAAACAAATCTTGCTGAGGAAACATAGGGAATTCATGAGTTACCATGACGATCTGCAATCACAACAGATCAAAGGAGTTGCATGGGAAGGATTTTCAAGACATGTTTGTTTGTGCTGCGAGCGGAGGATCCTGTAGAAATGACCGTGACCTCTCTCGGTTGCAGGCTTTTTTTGAGAAATTGGATCTTTTTTAGCTGCGTAGAGGGGCATGTGTGCTTTTTCATGTAGTCATTCTTCAGTAGTAGGATAGGCAGCAGACCTGGTTGGCCCCTTTTAGGACAGGCATTTAAAACTGCACGATGTTCTCGGATTTTTATGTTTTGATAAAAGTTGAACAGTCCAGCGTTCTCAGATGTTCTTTGCTTCAGTGTTTATAAAGACGAAAACTGTACAATATTTCGGTGCAAGTTTTTTTTTGTTTCGGTAATCATAATTGTTTCAAAGTTATGGAAAAGTACGCCCCATTGTAAAAGTTATGTTCCTGTCCTTCCCCTCCATGCAGGAAAATCTTATCTACTGATTAAAAAAAACAGAATTTGGTTTGTTAATTTTAAAGATAAAACGTAGCGTAAGATGCGACAGGTTTGCTTTAAGTTTAAGTTACGGTTCAAAACTTAAAGTTCAAACAGCACGTTAAAAAATTACCACGGCATAAAATGGGTTGTTAAAATTTTCTTTCTATTTATCTCAAGGAAGAGACCGTTATTTATACTTTGAAATGGATGGACTGAACTTCTGTGATTTTTGATGCATAACACTGTGTTAATCAACCACTCAAAATGTTACAGATATCACAAACAATAGACAAGGCGAATTGTAAGAACAGAACAAGATCTCACTACTCATAAGACTGGACTATTGGACTAATTCCTGCGTATGTGTTATAATAATGCCGCATATGTAGCAACTGACGAGTTCTGTAATCACTATTGTGCGCCAATCTCACAAATAATTCGTAAAGTTTTCATTTACATTCAATCTCAAGAAAAGGTCCAATAACGTAATAAACCTTAATAAAACTTGACTTGTGACAAGAACAAATGCTTCTTTGCCATGAATATCAAAAACATCTCTATCAGTTAGCCTGTCTACTTGGTTCAATTTGTCGTCTTCTGTATGAAGGAACGTATCATGTCTGCACTGTGTCAGTTAATCTACAAATACTTAATTTCCTCAACAGAGAATCGTCAAATGAATTTTTTTTTTTTTGGTGCATTTTCTCTCTGACGGATGAATTAAATTATGATGGCATTAGATATATGGCAAATAAGTTATACTGAAATTCAACTGCTGCAATAGGTCAGCTGTGCTAGTCACTGAATTCCAGTTTAGTTTCAAGAATTTTGTTTGCTGATTAAAATTTTAAAATAAAATTGCAAAAAAAAACCAGAAAATTAATTTTAAAGAGAATAACAACTGAAAGTCAAAGAACGAATCATCTTGATGTGGGAGCTCGTTGGAAAAATCAATGGGATTAATAAAAAAGTAAAAAGTCTACAAAAATTCACTTCTTTGCACTCTGGAGCAAAATATTCTGATGTTCATGATATGCGAATTCTTGGAATATAAAAGTAACGAACTACTGTACTTTTACTTCATTCAATACTCATTGAATACTTTTGTCAAAAATGTGTTTCCATGGCTCCATACAAACATTTACATCTTTAGGATCAGGTTTCCTATTTAAAAATAAATTTGGCTTCATGCATTAGCCTAATTTTGTCGAAGTTTTCAAGAAATGAAAAAATATGTTCATGATCAAGTCCAGTTAAAGTATCTCCCCCTATCTCTATATCAAATTTTGAGACCAAAGTTTAGAAAAAAAAGAAGAAAATAACCCTATGATTCGAATTAAACTGTAAAAATTACTGACTATCCATTTTAAGTAATAAAAAAAGTAAATGTTGCCAAAAAATGTACAATATTCGCATGTACAGAATGTAATATAATTTTGTAAATAGTATATTTGTAATTTTTAGTCTATGATGTAAATTATCAACATATGTCATTTGATGAGAGGTAGATTCAATGTTTTTCAAGTTCAGATCATAATTGTACTTTTTCAATGTTAATGAAACAACGTGTACATAAGTACAAATAGAGAATAATTTTGAATATGATTGTTTATAATATTTTGTTCATTCGATAAAATATAAATGTATGTGATAATCTTGGCAGACTTATTCATTTTCATCGTTTGTGGGTAGTTGTTGCCTTTATTTTTTTAGCTCTTAATAATCAACAGCCTGCGTCCTTTCACATTGACAAGTTTGTGAAAAGTTTATCGATCAAAAAAGCCGAAAGTTCTAGTGACTGTTTTGTCTCATTAATCTTTAACATTAACAGCACACTGTTGCTGTAATGACAAAAAGTAATGAACTTATCAAATCACAGGGCATCAAAAAGTCACACAGTAAGCTTTCAGCAATGTGGTGGTGGCAGTTTTTGGATATAACAACCGAAAACTCAATTTTTACATCAATAGATAACATGTATTGAAGGGCACTTGTTAATTATCCATAAGATATGAGAAAAGTAACGGATTGACACAGACTTTACTGTATCATTTCGAATTATTAATTCTGAGTTAAGAAAAAAAAAGCACATCTGACAGGTCTAAAAGCTTGTTGCTTACAGCAAGCTGGTCTGTTGCACGCAAGATATACAACCAACTGAGTACACTTTCGTTGGGTGAATACGTTCGAAAATCTTGTTCGGCACACCAAAAGAGTTTCAAATCCACCCTTTAGCCCACAATCTACGTAGTTCAAGATACGCTATTTCAAATGTACCACTTATGCGGGCAGTTTTTCTTGGTGGTAAGTGGTCAGGTTTGCCCGGAGAAAGACCTAACCTAAATAAACAATAAACCTTGCTAACTGTTATTAACTCTCCTTGCAAAAGATTTCAATTGTTTGTAAGCTTCTGTTTGGCAAAATAAAGAAAAGAAGGAATCAGCACTTGAAAACTATTGAAATCATACAATAGATTAAGTTAGTGAAATCGTTTGTTTACTCAGGTTATTTTTTTTTCTCCTCTGTATATGCGAACCTGGTTGGCAGTGACTGATAAAAACTACCTGCAGTTGAGGGAAACTTGAAAAAGCGTGCTACAAACTACGCAGATTGCAAGCTAAGGAATGGATTTCAGACTTTTTTAACATGCCCCACTTGATATCCCTGTGATTTTACCCATAAAGAGTACATTTATTTGGCTGTATCTCTTGCTTGCAACATTGAACAGGGCATTTAATGAAAGGCGTCAATATGACATGAACCCTGTATCATTTGAGCTCTCCTTCAAATAAATCATTCAGTTAATGAGCACATATACTGATCTCAATTCCAACTTTAATGCATCATGTCTAGCGCCCTTGGCTACAAGAGGAGAGAAGGAGGAGAAAAATGCAGTAATTACCAATTTATTGTCTAAAGTTGATCTAGTATCAGTTAATGAAGAATTATTGACCATTCTTCAGTTACTTTAACTGCTGGTTTGCGAATCATCAACACTTGAGTACCACTGTTGTACATTACTTCTACGTTTCCGTTCACAGCTGAAATAAAAAAAAAAAAAACAGATCATTGATTTAGTTCAACAACTTTGAATAAAATACCCTTTTTTTTCTTTTTTTAAATTTATTTGTACATAGAGTACAAGTTATAGAAAAATAGTTTTAGATGCAAAATGCATCTTTAAAAAGCTTAAGTTAATCTTATTACATGATATGATAATACTTATTACATAATTTTATATTTTACCTCAATGAGATATTGCCTCTGTATATTGAGGAGGAAAAATAAGACACCTCCATTTCAAAATACAGATGTCTTTTTGATTTTGAATTTTTTAAAAATTCTTTTTGAAAAAAGAAAAAAAATCCTTGATTCAGTTCAGCAACTTTGAATAAAAAACCCCTGGATGGCATAAGAAATTAAGTACCGAAGTACATATTTGTTTATGAAAACTTCATTCGTAATACAAAGGGCACACTGAAAATTTCTAAATTCATTAATACAAGTTCACAAGTATACAAAATTAAATATGAGTCTTGTCATGTGTAAATACAATGGTAAGTGACTTGAATTACAGGCAAAATGATAAACTAAGTTTCAAAGCCTTTACTTCTGACTGATTTGAGTGCTGCCGTGCTGTTGGAAATTAAAGTGGAATTAAAATTGGAAATTTAACTTACATGCACTTTTGATGGTTGCGTGCTTTGGTCCAGAAGATGCTCCTATTATAAGTACCCTCTCAATCCATGAACTTGTATCATAGCTAGTGTCACTAAGAAACCTATAATAATCAAATGAAAGAGATTTAACACATTGTCAACCTAGTTAATAAAGTTACAGAGGTAAATGGCAATGTCCCCTTGTATCTGACAAAATATGTGGCTTTTTGACATTCTCTACTGATTTGAATGGGCATGTGGACCTTCCATGAGTCAAACGAAAATTTTGATGCAATAGGTAGTTGTCATGTTATAATGAGGAAAGCAATATCTTGTAATGAGTAACCATGTTTTGAGATATCATTTCGCAAGGTATCTGATTGGTTTCTTCACTACTTGCGCACTAAAAGAAAATGCATTCAAAATTACAAGTTATTCTTTGAGTTCTGGGAGAGCGAAAGTTTAATATTAGTTTTTGGGAGAGCGTAATGGCGAACTTACAAGAATGACGCTGGAAATCTGTTGAGAGAACACGACACACTCTATTTACAATACCAGATAACAGAAAGATGGAAATATTTCACTTGGTAAAATATGACTTACGAGAGCTTAAGGGAGGACATGTAGTCACAGCAGATGATCAATGCTAAATAAAGTTCCTGAAGTCAAGGAAAGGCTCCGTGGCCTGGAGACTGTAACTCTTATGTAAAGGTTTTTGCTAAATCACTATTGATTATCTAATTGGTGACAAGTAATCAATCTGATAATCTATAACTTAGGTCGCATTGCATCAGCCATCCGGTGTACCGATAAAAAAGATATTAAATAAATGAGATGGTGTGTTTGCTTGTGTACGCGCATTGGCTGAAGGCCTAGAATGCTTGACAAGTTGGAACTCAGAATGAGACGGAAGAAATGAGGGAGAAAAGGATAGATGAAAAACTGTCTCAGGACGAATTTGGAAGAAAACTTTGCGTAAAACGCAACAATAGTTTTAAAAATATCTGGGCCCTAAAAGATGCGCAACAACACAAAGACTGTAGATTGGTGGTGACCTATGATAAACCAAAGCCATTATGGAGAAGTTTTCAACAGGCAAGGACTTCTTCACTCTAACCTCCAGTCCTGCAAATAACATGGGTTCTTTTGGAGTTTATATAATTAAGGGTTTGATGATAAAATTCTCTTTGTAAACTCACTGAAGGAACGCTTAATGTTTACATTGTGATCTAAATCGTATATACCTTTGAAGGGATAATGAAAATTTTTAATATGACCTGTATCAATTTGTATTGTTTTCGGAAATAAAATCGAAATTTTTTATCAAACCGTAAGTTTTTTTTTTGTTTGTTTGTTTTTGTTGTTTAATTCATTTATATGTATAAAAATACATGATAAATACAGGAGTCATTGTCTGGGTGACATATCTCTCTGATTTAAACTAGTAAATGAAAACTTAACCCCCCCATACTAATTAAAGTAGTTATAATGGAAAAAATGCATACGCAAAAAGGTGGAAATTATTATACTAATGGTGCAATAAATTTATAAACGAAGGATAAATGCTCATGGCTAAAAATCGAAAGGTGCAAAAACCAATTAAGGAGGAAATCACCTTTCAAGATTAAGAATTAGATAGAGTGAGGAATTCATGACCTCAAAACAGCGAGAAAACATTCACAGAAACAGATAAAGAGAGATGCCTATCAACAGACGGCAGAGAAAAGGAGTTGATTACAGATCACGGTGGGTTTCTGAAAAAAGTCGGCCCCTGCATGAGAGTCTCTAGGACTTTCATCAGATCTGTTCGATCTGTTCAAATTGTTTTAAAACCAAGTCCTTATCGATTATCGAACCGTAAGTGAAGCTAGAGATGAATGCAACGTTATTTTGACATAAAAATAAGTTTTATCTTTTTTACCTTGGGAAGAGAATAGACACGACCTTAAATAATAGCTTAGTAGTGATGGAAAATTTGGAAGAATCATTTAGTTTTGTGTAGCTGCCTTTGGAAACCGAAAGTTGTTGAATATTTTGATAGCATGCAAATAAGGCACTACCCATTTGAATCTTTCACACCTTTGAATCTTTTCCATCTCCTATTGTGCCTCATACTGCCATTATTTAAATCTCAACTGCAGTTAGTAGATATCTGATTATAGTCTAAATCATGAAAAACATTACTACTTAGCTTGTACAATTGGATTTATCAGGGTGGCAGCAAAAATTGTTTACCCACCGAAGGAAAAGGACAACTAATCAGATACATTAATCCTATACAATCACTAAATAACCTGCCTGATGGTGAGATGATATTGTCAGTTTAAAATTTGGTAAAGAAACTTACGAGGAGCTCAACACATTATCTTTGAACTCGAATTTCATATACAGCCTTTGTCCTTTTTGGTATTCAAAACTATCACCGTCATCGAGGTAAAGTGTTCCTGTAGCTGTGCCCTGAAAATAGAAAGAGACAAATAATATTAAATGCAAAATAAAATAAGGCAATTTTGCGCAGTGTTAATTTATTTTTAAAATAAATCCTCATTTCTTGCCATTCTTTCGTACACTTAAATTTCTTTTCTCATCGAGTTGGCATCTGCAAACAAGTTCATTAAGTAGCAGCATGTAAAGACAAGCAGGCATAAATGAGTTAATCCGTCTGATCAGGAGGCTGTTATTTTCATCATGTTTCCTCTATTTCCTCCTTGATAGGGTCATGGGCCTGGATTTAGAGATCAAAATATTCCTAACTTGTCATATTGGTACATCGAAAGTGATGTTTCTTTTTGGAGTAAGACAATTTAGTTTTCATTTAGAAAAATACTGTATTTGATCTTTTGAGGACTGTGCTGTTCCCACTTGGGCTAGAACAAACAGATCCTCCAAGGCTCCACCAGTTGCAAGGGGCCAAAATTACGAGAGCCCAGCATAGACAGGGATTGGAGCATGCTCAGGATTCAGCAGCATGATGGTCCACTCAGACTCTATCTTTTATCTTTTGCACCATCTCCCCTCCCCCCCNGCCGAACAAAGGCCGCTTTCCCTACAACCATGAAGAGCTTTTTGCACTTTTGTATTGCTCTTAATCATATTGCGATAAAATGAAAAATAATAAATAAAGAAAATAGTGAGTAACAGAAACAATTTCAGAGAGAAAGCGAAGTTCTTACATTGCTGTTCAAGGCAACCAATAACGTTAATGGGTCATGTAAAGTCAGGACTGACGAACGTCTGGCACGTTCTCGGAGGGGTAAAATTGAGCCACCTCTTTGGAATAGTGGGATCTGCAACAGAAAATTTGGATGAAATAAATGATAGTCGTTTCAAACTGAGGACAGTGAGAACAAGCAGATGAGCAGGCACTAGGTAATTAGTAAATTGTTTTAGTTCCTGTGATAAGTACGACTGAATTTCAGTTTCCTTTTTTTAACCATTGCCCAAAAATGGCTGGATTTGAAATAACCACAGCGAGAAAAAGCTGCATTGACATCTACGATGTATAGCCTAAGGATTTAGAAAAATTAACCAATCTTCAGTTCAATGAACTAAATGAGACGTTTAGTGTCCAATATTTTTATCAAAATTTGTTTATTTTTGTACTTGTATCAACTCTTCGACATGGTTCACGACAGCTTTTTAAAATAAAAAACAGAGAATTTCAAAGATTTTACGGAGTCTTGCAGTACATAATTAAGAATTAAACATTTCAAAAGCTGGAAAAACCTTAACATGAGACATGAAAAATTTCAGAGGCTTTAAAATGGGGATTAAAACGGGAAATTATATTGGAAAACCTTTAATTCTTCCTTTCTGAAGATATCGGTAGGAGAAGGGGTATCAATGCACCTGATTTTTTGTAAAAAGTTCATTTGACTTAAGAGGTCAGCTTTGGTTTGTTTTCAGCATGCAATACCCAGAGCTAAAAACTGTAGATTTATCCAGTATTAAATGTATGAAATTTTGCTCTGAAATAGATCAGGATGCTTTAAAATGAAAATTCTTTAATTGGAGGAAAACTCATTGTTTCTGATTTTTCTGGTAAGCACCTCTTCTGCTGGTGTCTTCATCAACACAAGGATGCCACCACATGGCATACAGACAAAGCAGGTTCGAAGTCATGAAGCCTCTATTGCAAAAGGAAAAAAAAGTGGAACATTTTCTTGACCCTCGCAAACAAGACACCTAAATGGTAGGAAATTGAAGGATATTCGAGAACTTTACAAGGCATAACAAACTCAATTCAACTGCTTATAAACCGAAACCATGAGGCTGATAGAGCAAATGAGAAATGAAGAAGGGCAGAAAGGGACTTACGGTGCTAATGTCTACTGGCATTTCAATGGAGCCAGGTTTATAAGCCTGATATGATCGCAAGTCGTACCACAACTCATTGTGACCAGGGAACAGAACATTCACCGAGGACACACCTGCTTCTTGGACCGGACGGACCATTAGGCTGCTTCCTATAACCGACATTGATAATAATTTTAAGAGTTGAATTTGGGAAAACTTTCTGAATCAATATTCTTAAGAACTATTGCTTGGCCTCCTATTAGCTGAATTCCTCAGAGCAAAGGCTAGTAAGAATTAGCTTTTTGTTTGCTTAACTGCATTGGTAGAAAAAGCCTCAGTAACATGTTTGAGAAATGTTGCATAAATAACACCTGAGGCAACTGAGGATTAGAGGAAATTTCTAAGGTAAAATACGAGACAAATAAGAAATAAAATTCAAACAGACCCAAACAGGCTTCATGGTCTCTGAAAATGTGGAGGAATGGAATTGCTAATACCAAATGTGTTTGGTCTTGGCCCTTATTTCTGGAACAATTATGCCTCTTAAAATTTCTTATCATATACACAGGATGTTTAAAATCATACATTGAAACAGATTAGTTTGCTTCTTTAAATGCTTTCTTGACATTTGTAACAAGCAAGAGTATTTTTTTTGTGTGTGTGAGTGTGTGATTGTTTCCTTGGAAATCAGTTATTTTTCAATTTTCTACGCTGAGGTTTAAACTATGTGCTATTTATAGGTAAAAATATTTCAAAATTTGACTTATAATTTCATTTGTGGAACAAGAAGTGGATTTTGATGAAACACTCACCAAGGATGAGTTGATTATCTACATCGTACGTGTTGACATCCTGGGGAAATTCTGACCACAGGGGTCTGATGACGGGCAGGCCAGTAATGGTGTGTTCATAGAAAGTTGTGTAAATGAGAGGCAGGAGAGAGTAACGCAGTCTGATTGCTTGACGGATAAGTTCAACAGTTTGGTCATCAAAAAGCCAAGGTTCACGGCGTTTAGTGTCGATGTGGGCGTGACCTCGGAAAAATGGCAAAAACACTCCTGTCTGTTAACAAAAAGTTAAGCTTAGGCAACATACTTCAAAAAAGACAGGACAGATTTTTCAACGATGCTAATTAGGCAGGCTACCTATTCCCTTAAACTGACAACAGTGGCCTGTTATCACTGAATGAGACTTACTATGAGGCAATGCAAGATATTCTTCCATAACTTGACATGTTTTATTTTCTTTTTGTTTATCATTTCCTGACCGGCTGCTTTACTTTTCAATTTGCTCGAAGGAAAAAAAATTATTTTCTTTACCCTGATTTGATTTTGTAGGGTGACCTCTTTTTTGACTTAATTAGCATTAGAGATAAATTGGAAATAATTTAGTTGTCGGTCTTACTGCAAAGCCAAACTACTGCTACACTCAACAACTTTGGTAACTGTAACTAAAGAGGTAGGAGAAGGAGTTCCTGGCCTTTAATAGCATAAGGTACTTAGGTACGTGTTCAACTTTCAACAGGGAAGAAGAACGTGGTCCTATCAAAATTTTGCAGTGATTAGGAACTCAAAAAACATACCTGGTACCATCGAACGAGGAGCTCTGGGTTGGGGTTTCCGAAGAAGCCTCCAACATCAGCACCGCAAAAAGACATGCCGGAAATGGCCAGTGACAGACACATTGGGTATGAGATCTGCAAGTGAGTCCAGTCAGCGGCATTATCACCTGTCCAGATGGCAGCGTATCTCTGTGAGCCAGAGAAGGCAGAGCGTGTCAGAATAAACGGTCGTTTCATACCTTTGCCACGTGCTAAAAGACCATCATATGTTGCTAGGGTCTGAAACAGAGAAACATTAAAATTAAGGCAACATTACCAACCAGAAGAAATTTTGATAATTTGAACAGGACTGAAGTCCTTCTATCTAGAAAATGTACTCAATGGTTGAGAAAAATTAGCGGAACTTCAGGCTTTATACTTCTGATGCTTTCGAGTGAAAAAATTCTTGAGCTGGGTTTCCACTAGCGCATTTTTGAGGCACAAGCTGAAAGAGCAACTAGCGTTGCTGCGCAGGCTATGCGGTTTGGTGGTATGAACATCTTTTTGCACAACTTGGACACTTGTCCTGTAAAAACCGAACAACATTGAAAGTTTCCAAAGTTGCTTGCCACATTTGCTAATTTCTGAGCAATACCCAGCTAGACATTATTTATCACCGATGCACATCTGATACAGCTGACTTAACACCCATGTCCAATACTCATTGAGCACACGATAAAGTAGCATGCTAAGGTGCAGCTTGTCCTGTGCAGCAAGATAACAGCTTAAAATGCGCTCAAATTGTGCATACAGTGTCACTCATGCATCGAAAATGCTCAAACCGAAAAGCACAGGTATTCTTTGAAAAGATGGAGACAAGAATATTCCTTGAATTTCCTGTGAAATTTGCCCTTGGAGGACATAACCCATTTTACCAAAACTTGTCCCACATAGCACATGCAGACAGGAAAATCTTTTTCAAAGTGGGCAAATACCTGCATGAAACCATAGATATTGTGGAGCTCTCGGTGCTCGACATCTCCATAGTGAATACAGTCTTTGGGCATGGTCACTTCTGGGCCGTTGAAAACCGATGGTTCGTTCATATCATTCCAGATGTAGACGTCTGTGTTGGTGCCTTGGAAAGTACTGTATTGAGAGGCATAATACTCTCTTACTTTTGGGTCCAGAAAATCGAGGTAACTTGAGGATCCAGGCCAACACCAACCTGAAGACAAAATGAGAGATTCTTTGATGAAAAGAGAAATCTCAGATATTTATTGACACTGTACATAAAAATGCTGGATTTACACCATAAATAAAAAATATTGAAACTCTTGAAAAGGAAGTTCTAATGTTGATTGGTGTGCTACAGATTAAGATTTGCCTCTCAATTGTCTAATTTTTTGCATTGAAAATCGGATAACTTAAAATTTTGCTGCTTACTCACAATATTTGTGTGAAATTTATCAAAGGAGTTTTTCTTGGTCTTCAAATTTCTCAACAGTATCCTCTATCATGAGCGATTTAAATTTTTCTTGTGCAGTTTTGTTTGTTGCCAAAGCATATAGACCAAAGCATATGGACCAACGGATACGGACCAACGGATATGAGTGTTGCCTTAGTAATTTTGAAACAATCTTAAGCAACAAATATTTCCTTAACCACAGCAAATTTCGAAGATTTAGAAATTTTTGCTTACCCTCATAGTCTTTCCGATCTTTGTTCTTTACGTAGTAGCCATTGTTCTCTGCATCGTTATGGAGGAAGTAATTGCTATCGCGCTTAATGTGAGGATCAATGATGACAACGAGTTTCCTTCCCTTTGTTGTGAGATTGTAGACCATTTCCAGAGCATGAGGGAACTTGTGTTCATCCCAAGTGAAGTATCTGATAAAATAAAAAAACAAATGATTGTTAAAATAGTACCACTTTAAATCCAAACCTACCGTTGACTTTACTCTTTGTCAAATTCAAATGAATTTCCTTTGAGTTTATTTGCTACTGAGATTCCTCTGTTTCAAAACACTTTCAAATTGCTTCCTTATTTTCTTGTCATGACAAGCCTGTATTTAGAAAATATTTTTAATTAATGTATAATAAATTTTATAAAGATATGTAATGTTTAAAAATACTTTAAACTGAAGATTTACGGCTAAATTTTATTGTTCTATTTGCCTCCTGATTTTAATGATTTTTCTCTTAAACATAGCATAAATGTTTGCAACAAAAAATAAGCTTCAAGACGAAGAGGACAAAAATTAAAAATTCTTACTTCTTTCCATCAGTGTATTCAATATCAAGCCACATGACGTCCATCGGAATGTCGTACTTGTCAAAATTTTCAGCAACATTGAAAACATCATTTTCATCATTATAGTTCCATCTGCACTGGTGATATGCTAATGAGAAATACTGTAATTTGAACAAAATATCAATAAGTTAAAAATATTGCACCTTGATAAACTTCGTAGATTATTTGCTGCAATAATTCTGAAAAAGTCTGCTGCAGTCACTCAATGGGTCAATGCTTTTCAATTACTCTGCCAAAAAAGAAAAAAAAAAAAAAAGAAAAAAAAAAATTGACACTGTCAACTGAGACACGCTAGTAATGATAATACATACTGAAAAACAATAAGAGAAAAACAAATGGAATTTTGCATTTGAAAGAGGGGGGGAAAAAACGATAAGCATCATAAGTTTATTTCATACTGTGTTGGATATAAACTGGAACATGACTTTAAGCTGCTCTCTCTTGACATGTTGTGCAGAAAGAATCATAAATTAAAATTTATAAATTAAGCCAAAGCTAATTTCTTATTTATCTTCATTTTGGTTAATCATAAATATTAAAAAGCTATGAGTTTGGCTGAATAAAAATGTTAAACAGGCTACAGGGACAAAGAAAATTATTTTGAAGAAATTGGTTAAAAAATCTTCATGATTCCAAAAATTTCAATCAGTTAATGAAAAGCATTTGAAAGAATCCTTCTAACCGGAGGTAAGAAGCTGGTTCCTGTGAGTTTGGTGTACTGACGGAAAACATCATGAGGTGACGGTCCCAAGTGGAAAAATACATCAATAATGCCACTCTCTGACATGAAATGAAGGTCCACTTTCTTTGTTTTCTCATCTGTCTGACTGCCAGAGACAAAGTTCACTATGGATGACATGACATTGTTCGCTTCTGAGTCGGGAGTGTATGCCACATCCACCCAAGTTTCTGCGGCGTTCAGCCAGAATATTCCGCTTGCTTTCTTGCTGGAGATAGATCACAGAAAATCAAATGAATTTATGTGCTAGTATAGAATATATTCGGATATATCATAATTATTGCATGAAATTAAGAATTAGATTCATGAGTCGGAGGTCACTATTTTGAAAGCAGACTTTACTTCCAGAGACTGAGTTACATTCTGAACCTTTAGAGGACTTGTGATTAACTGCTTGACAGTGAAGCTATAGTTTGAAAAGCCTAAACCTGAGAAAAAAACTACAAATTCAGAACTTTAATTAGTCTTGCCCAGGGCCACCAGACAAGGTTAGAATTAAACTTCCACAGGAATTGCCATGATAAAAAATGTGGAAGGTCTCCAAAGTTTCTAAAATTAACTTTTGAGAAATTAAAATGTTTAGTTAACATAATAATCAGTCAATTCAAACGTTTCACTTACAAAGAAATCAACATCAAAAGAGGTTATGTTGGTCATTGAAAACAGTCAGGCCCTCTCAGCAATTAAAGTGAGTTGGAACAATGCTCCTAATTTTCAGGCGTTGATACCTAATTATACATTTTCTTGTTATTTGTAGCATGGCATCAAGTAATATTACAGCATCGTTCAAAGGCAGTAGCTAGTCCTTTTAGTCCATTCTTTTTCCACTTTTGCTACAAAACAATCAACAGTAAGATAATAGCGTCTCTGCATATTTTGAATAGATAATTACGGTTTAGTTGTCTGGACTAAGGCTAGAATTACTGTCAAAATTTAGGTTAATGTTAAATTTGTCCTCTACTTTGTCCTTTGCATGTACTGACAGCTATATTAACTGTATTGATACACAAGAAACATAGGCTGGCATTACACAGTTGTTGGCTGGGAGGTAAAAAAAAAGAATCAGAAAGACTCTTATTATGCCAGCTTTTTCACCCACATCCAAATTCAAATTTACCTCTACAAAAATGTTTAAGACAATTAAGTCTTTAATGAAACATTAAACAATATTTGATGAAATCTTACCCAAGTCCAACTGCAAAGGGCATAGCAGCATACAAGGCCATAGTCGAGTGAATTTCATATTCAAAAACATCGAAATTGTACAGCCGGTATGGATCACCTTTCCTGGAAAGCACATGAAGATCGTTTAGAGTTACAACTTGATTACAAAAAGGTTACTTGTTATACTGAGGTTCAAGTACACAAATCGCCAGCTTGGGGTAAGCAGTGATGAAAGGCTTCAATCATTTGTTAGTAACAAAATTGCTCGGATCCTTTTCCAAATATATACCATAAATCGGAGGTTGCAATTCTTAAATTCGGCAATCGGAAGTACATGCTAAACTTCTATTCTACATAGGCTGTCTCAATGATTTGGCATCACTTTTGGATCCACTGTACTTGCCAACAAAAAAGCTAGCAAGTTGCAATTTGTAGGGTTTTGTAGCTCAATTTTTTAGAGAAATAAGCAACGAAAATAGCATCTAAGATGAATTTTTCTAGTCAATAGTTAAGCCAAAAATAGGTCTTCGTCAAGCCTTTGTCAAAAACTGACAGTGACACAGTTTTTGTTTTATTTATTTATTTTTTTTTTTTAAAGAATCATGTTGTGCGGACCCCTACCAGATTTTAGAACTCAATTTAAAAAAAAAGGAGCAGAGGAAATTTAAACATTAGAGGCATGTGTTAACGCCTTGCTGCAGTTGACTTGCCCTTTTACTTCTTAAAAATGCTATAATGAGAGCTTAAGATGAGACTCAAAGTTCGTGAAATAATAGATAGTTTGAGCAAAATTCGAGAGAAATTGGAATAATCAAGGCGAGGTAGAAAATAATTTTAGTTACTTGGTAGACTTGAGGGCTAGAGTTTCAGCATGCTCTGGAAGACCATAAGCATGATGAGCGTTGACAAAAGTGAAGTCCAATGCAACAGCAGTTGGTCCATAAGGTTTACTATCATGATGTGACTTGAAGTTCTCTTCCCAAGCTCCGGGATCTTCCTGCACTTCATTCAGCTTATTGTCATCACCTGCCTCTCCTTCCAGATTTTCACCTTCAGGTCGCGCTGGATTCCTTTAAAGAAAATTATTAATTCGTATTTTATTCAGGGCAATCTTCCTTTCAAAAGTGTTACAAGTTACTTTTACAAAATACATGATGACAAAAAGCAAAGCTAAGTTACTGTAAAATTGATGAGTTTTAAAGAACTCCGATGGATTCCATTCACAAGTCAGGAATCTGTTTGGGTGGTTGATACAAAAAGATCCGTGAAAATTATGACATCATTCCGTATGCAATGACACATAATATAGGTGAACAGAGATACCAATTTTATGGCAAGTATTGTACAGTCCATGCCGCATAAGTTTACTTACTTCAAAAATGGGACAGAGGATCGGCCTTCTTACTTCTATTACCTCCCGTTCCCTTTCAATATTAAACTCGGACAATTGAACCTCTATTGAACTATTTAAAATGTAAACTTATGAGCCTTATAAACTTTATTTAAGAGGCTTTATGTCCAAAGAGACTTCATATTACATCATCCACCACATTGGATTAAACTGCAGTTCTCCAAAACCTTGGTCTTATCATCTTGTGGTTTACAAATTTGCACTACATGCATTTTACCATTTCTATAAAGACTACAAGGCAAAATGCACTGACATAATAAGCCTTTTAATTTCTTCATAGGAAGTATCCTCCATTATTATGCCCCTTAGAAATTTGGCATGAACGAATAAGGAACGTGCACTATGTGACAATGATTCATTTTCGATTGCATTGTCTTACTGAACAAATCTTGTTTCCTAGGCTTCTACAAAGCAATTTTTTTTTTCTTCTTCTTTATTTGTAAGAATTTAAAAAATATGATTTGGGAGCAAAATGTGACTCTTAATTGTTTGAAAATGGATAGACACAGAAAATGTAAGCATTTGAAGCATCTCAAATAGAATAAAAATATATCGTAAATTAGTTTACATCTTGAAAAATACTAAAAATGAGTGCAAAACTTACGGATCAGTTTTCCTCCTTTGATGCTCGAACTTCATAAGACCTTGTGAATTAGCACTAATAACCAACTCATCATGAGAGAAACAATCCAATTTAAACGGAGCATAGTGAACAATAACTTTGTTTTCTCCAGATTTCACTATGATCTTCTCAGATGTTTTCTCCAACACTTCCAACCTATCACAGACATACTTTCATTTTAGAATCGCAGTGATGGAAAATATTCAGACTTTAAAGTTTTATGATACACAATGGCATAAGGGTGCAATACATTTCTATTTGATTGTTTTTCATTTCCATCCTTTTTGATATTTTTAAGTTGAAAGATACATGACTTAATCCACTGAAAAAAGCTAATTTCCAAAAAAGAGCACCCATTGCGGTAAATGTAAGTTGAGAATGTATGATTGTAGGGCTGGTAGTTTTAGTAGCAAGATTTAGACTTCAAGAATTAATGAAAATTAAAACAAATTTACGACGAATAATGTGAAATTGGCTACCCCTCAAATGTGAAGTTTACCCAGTTGACGAATTTTTCAACTACATCGTTCTAAATTGTCATCAACTATATCATTTAAAATCACCTCTAAGATTACTATCCTCTCCCACAATCTTAAAACCTTCACAGATTTGCATGCAACCATCTAAGAGTGCTCATCCCTAATTTTCTGCATTACTGTATGAAACTCGTTCAGAATGGCTGGAAATTAGAAAAACTTACATTTTCTCAAAAACCCTCACCTTTATTTTGAAATTAAAAAAGGAATGAAAATCTCTTAGGCGTGAATATTTTGTCAATAGGTGTCACAATGGACACTGGAAAAAGAGAGAGAAACTTACGGTTCGGTGGTTACAGGAAGCAGTACAAAAGGAACTTTGAAACGTTCTTTGATCGGTTTCTCTTCATCAACAGTCAATCTGTAAGTGGCATCAGCTAAGGCAGTAAGTTCTAACTTATACTTTACAGATGTTGAGGCATCAATAAGGTCTGCTTTGACACTTGTTTCGTACACTTGAACAGTTTCTGGGGCAATCTCAAAATTAGATATTCCAGGAGCAGTCTTCCGGCATCTCCTGCAAAATGAATATAAAAATTGAATTACAAGTACAGCTTTGTTGCTTGTAAGTATCTTTAGAAAATATGATTCATTAATATAGGTGAGTGTCTCGTAACTTTCAAAAATCTTGAAGTTTAGGCATAATAACACTATTGCACCGGTGGAGAACAACAAAGTACACAGGGTCCATTATTGTTACGAGAAAGAAAAATATGTATATCTTGGTGGTTTAGCATGCAGGATGCAACATGACAGATCTTTTGTCTCATTTCTGTGTTAAGTACTTATCAACTTCTTAGAGCATGACTATAATACAGAGTGAAGGGGCAACTAATTTTAAGAGGAAGAATATCACCGCTGATTATTGACTTCAAATTTCCACTACAATCTATAAACACTGTAGCAAAAGCTAAAATTCAATCACACCAATCTTTAAACACAAATTAGTGACACAGATAGTTTTTTTTTAAAGCAAAAAATAGTCACAATCTTATCTTCAAAAATGTTCTTTCTCCGGAAAACCCTCAGCAAAAAAATAGCTGCACTGCTTCATATTCTGATTTACTGATCAGACAATCCATCCGATACCATTGTGAAAGGCAGTTTATTTCAAATCGAAAAAATTAGTCCAGTTAGGTTTATAGTACAGGAGCATTTGTCGTAAAAATAATTGTGTGCACTGAAGTGAGTGCTTGGGTTTTTTCGCCGATTATCTCGGGGCGTGTGCCTGTAGGTATGTCCTGTGATGTGATCGATATATAACTCATGTCAGATGTGGTAGTGTTTCATTAATTATGAAAGTGCATCAACCATATGTACATAATTACATCCGATGAAATCTGAATTAAGAGGTAGAACCAGGAGTGCCAATGGATCAGTTTCACAGCACCATTTTCAATCAGTATGGCTGTTAGCTGATGAATAATAAAAGACGGTCCATGAAAGAGCCCTTCATGGACTGAATTCAAACCTTGGACCAAACAATTCTCCACAACCAGTGGTAAAGGGTTTGAGGATCGTCGAGGGTCTAACATTACTTACGTTCAACATCGATGATGTTCCGCTTTCGAAACCTGGGCTAGGATAAGGAAAGGGGGTATGTGAGTAAGAAGAAAAGGCAACTGAAAGAAAAACCCATTATCAAGTGCTTACTTACCGGCAAAAACTGCTTTGTTCGCATGTTTTGAAGTTGCTTCGGTCAACAGCTTCAACAAACGTCAAAATGAGGAAAATGGCAGTGATAAGGTGATAGACGCACTGCATGTTCGTAGTGTTTAATTGAAACGCATGGAAACAAAATAAACCACGCTTTTGCAACGAAAAGTCGGAAGATTTCGCCTCACCGGGCTGCAAGACGACTAAGAAAGACGCGGAAACCGAACCGTATGATCACTTATCTTGGAATCCGAATGCGACGGACGGATACGTGTTCGACAGGAAGGACATGCAATGATAAGTGCCTACAGCAGATATAATTAATGGGCGTCTTTGAGAATGAATTCGATCACTGCTGCATCCAGCAGCCAAAATGAAACGGAATCATGATCCAAGAACACATAAAAATTAAAACACTAAAAGAAAATTGCAGAAATTGGAAATTGGGAAGCGATTGAAAACGGAACGGGTTATGTTTCAGTTTCACTGTTTACATACTGGAATGAATTTAGCTACAACGGCCGTCAACTNGGGGGGGGGGGGGTATTTTTTGGTGGTGGAAAGCGTTATTGTCTATTGTAGAAGGGATGTGGATAGTAGGAAAGGAGTAAGCGGTGAAGACGTATGGTCCGCGGCACCCGGGCCCAGTGTGCGGCGGAGCGCCGTATCCGGGTGTCGCGGCCATTGTAGTTGGCGGCCGTTGTAGCTAAATTCATTCCAGTTGTTTACATCGCTCCCCTCCCCTCTTGTATTTGACCACCAATTGTGCAAACCCAAATGTGCGAAAGTCACTATGACGGGGACATTATTATCCCGGTAGACGGGCGGTAGAGGCATTGAATTTGATTGAAACTGGAATTTATTAAATGCGAAATCATTGATTAGATTTTATAAGTTATTTTTAATGCATTTTGTCGATGATTACCTCGATTACTTTCCTCTCTTCCTAGTGTGGTTTTGATCTTTAAGTTTGTCACGGCACTTCTGAGCAGCCAATAGAAGTAAGCCAATTGGAACATTTCGCCGGTAAAAAGCCTTCAGCGAGCTCGACCTTCAAATCCTTTGATCCACGCCGCCAGTTCCTCGAAATCTGCCCAGAGGAAGAAGAAGAATTTATCGTCACAAAAATTCTTCGGGACGGAACTCTTGAGGCGCCTGGCGCCTACTGATTGACCCATATTTGACTGATACGTTCGAACAGGTATGGCTAGCCTATTTCCTTCATGCTATGCTAACGTATGATGTATGGAATCCCATCGATTTTTAACGAGGAATCCGAATCTGAGCTTAGATTTTGGATATCTTACGTTTTAATTTGTTTTTATTTGTGCGAGAAATTAGGTACATGCGCGTTCCTAAAAATGAGATCGCAGGAGAGTGGGTTTTTTTTCTTTCTTTCTTTTTTAACCAGGACGATTAATGGTGTAACATATTGTTTCCTGCATTCGCCGGTCTAAACATTTTGCACAGAAAATATTATGAAATAATGATTAAATCAAGCAAAAGCCTCCGAAGTTCCCCTGAAATCGCGGACTGATTGACTTATGGAGTCATCCCCATACTTCTTACCTAGGTATAATTAAACTAGTGGAGTTCCCCCTCCCCTCCCCCGATC